CATCAATGTCTGGTAAATGGGAATTCATTCTCACTCCAATGAGAAAGCACTGCTCACCAAGACTTGTCCCATTTGCAGCAAACAGTCTGAGCAAGGATACTTGATGGTATCCTTAGCAGTAAAATCATGAAAGATCAAGCCCAAATATTACAGCTGTAATTGGTACTGCACAGCAAATGACCCTTAATTTGATGTCCTGTCCGGCAGCGCACTAGATGCAAACATTTCATTGATTTGGTAATTCATCATAAGCACTGCTCCTATGCTAGGATGCAAACAAGTCTTAAATACCGCAGCTTAGMGGTGCCTCCAAAACACTGGAATGCCACACATCTCCATGAAATGTTCATCTTTGYCAGGCATTTCACTGCCACTGTTTAGCTGGGTGACCTTTGGAAGGAGCAGCGGAGGCTGACGCGCACCTTCATTAAAGCAGCGCCTCGTTCTTCCCCCGCCCAGGAGAAAAATGAGCATGGGAGGGAAGAGGTGAGCAATCCACGCAGTAATGAAGAGATTTTGTTTCAGAGGGTTATCAATTATTTATGAGTAAATCCCCAGATGAACACATCCGAAGCTGAACAGTTTTTAATATGTTTCCCTTCTGTACACATGGCACAACACAACCAGATGCGAGTTAAACTGGGCCGATCTGATTATTCGAGGTGTCAARCAGTGCGTTCACTCTGGACTTCTGTTAATCACTATTATGTTTTTCCAAGTACAGTGGTCTCCTAGATTTAAATCTCTACCACAGAATTCCTCTAACATTCACAGAAATTATTCTTTACAATGTTTCCCATTCATCAATATCTCAGTGAAGAAAAAATCTCATCCTGAAGAATTTGCGTAATTATGCTGACATAGTTGTCTAAATAGTCTAATACTCAAATTCTTATACTGCCCAGCTCTGAATGGAATTTTATTCCACAAAGGAACTTTTCCTATTAAGAAAAGACCAAGTAAAGGTCGTATTCTCCAGAACAGGGTTTATCCTTTTCAAAACAAAGACTTGTTTTTAAAGCAAAATTGTTTTACAACTGTGCTTTTTAAAGAGAAGACCTGAAGACTCTTTTCATGATGCGGGAAAGATAAATATTACACATTCCTCACAAGMAAGGGCAGCGAAACCCAACAGTTGTTTGTGCACGACACATTTGCACAAAAAGTTCTCAATCTGTTTACCAATGTTACAATTGAAAAGTCATCCTGCAAGTCTCCAAATGAAACCCAATCCACTGGCATGCAGTGAATGACCAGATCTGCAGAACTGTGCTTTGAGCTCCAGTTTCCCATAGCTCCCAACCAACAAGATGCTGCCAAAGTCAGCGTCCCACCACTGCAGCCACACTTCACTGCCTGTCTGTGGCAGCTGTCATGATGGCACTGATGCCACCTTTAACACCCAGCTCAGGTACTCTGTGAGCCAGAACCCACCTGGGCACTGCCAGGATGTGCCTTGCAGAGCAAGAACCTGGCTAWGCAGTGACCTCAATGCACAGGAGGCCTCAGAGGGAGGCAGACAGTCATCCTGAGCTTGGGGGGCTCTCTTGGTGCAGCCTGGGCTGAGTGCTGCCGAGGGGGAACAGCCAGCTGGCCCTGCAGGTTCCCCTGCCGCCTGGAGCCCTGTCTGCAAACTGCCTYCCAAAGGAACATGTCCAGGGAGACACTCATCAAATAACACCTTTTAAACTACACATGGAATGACCACTTCCTACCTTTATTTCACAAAACCACAGGAGAAGAGCCAGGTCTCTCCCCTTCCCTCTGCCCTCTCCCCTTCCCACCATCATTCACCTCAGCATCTGCAAAACCCGAGGAGCAAGCTCCATTCCTGGCATAAACTGAGTAGACTAAACTGCTCCAATACCAAGACAACAAAAAAAAGCCACTTAGAAATCCATTTYAGATTTGTTTGCATTACTTTAAAGGGTTTGCTATGTATTTGGATGAAAGAAGCCCATTAAGTACGTCTATATTTACTTCATTACAGTGTGGCTCTTGAAGTTAGATGAAAAGATTTACCCTGGCCAAGTCTGTTTATTCATCAACATCAGCTAGATATATTTTCAAAGGCTCATCCTCATCACATTTACATGAAAGCACACAGATCTTTTTTTTTTTTTTTTCAACAGTTGTAAGGCATTCTGAGAGCTGGGAAAGGGCAAAAGAAACTTTAGTGAGAATTACAAAATCAAGGAACAGTTCAGGCGCAGTTTCTATCATTTCCACTTATTTATGGGGGTGGAAATCCACTCTTTCCCAACTGGAATYATTCTTCTCACCCTGCAGATGTATCAACAGCAAAAAACTGCAGCTGGATGGTCAGTCCCCATGACTCAAGCCCTGATAAAGGCACCCAGCACATCACTTACCCATGAACACCACAGATGAAGTGTTAACCCCTCCTGAAACTCAAGAGTTTAAGCAAATGTAGCCTCCCAAGTTCCTAAAGTTTTTCTCTGCACTTTGTCAAGAAAAATTAGATTTTTTTTTCCACAGGTGGTACTGAAAATGAGCTCTTCATTACTGCTAGCAACTCCTATGTAGAAGTACAGCCTACCACCGACCAAAGCCAATTGTACAAGCCCTTGTTATCTTTGACAGGAACCCAAACATAACTTGGTACTTGCATGCCTTTATTATCAAAAAATTTACCCTCAAGTTATTTAAATATTTAAATGACATTTATGGGCACTATCTTTCCTCATGAGTTTACACTTTCCCACGGAAGACTTCCAGAGTGATTAACAATGCTGATCTTTATCCTTCACACTGACTATTCATTCATCCTTTCTAAAACGAATACTGCTTACATACGACCCAAGAGGGCTGTAACAAGGCAGTATTTATCTACCCTAATAATCTACTGCGGCTGCTTTAATTAAAACTGGGTTATATCACATCCATGAAGCAAAGGCACACCTCCTTGTCATTTGTCATCTCCACCTCACAGCTGTGTTTGGTGCACCTCTTCARGAGAAAGCCTTGGAGGTGCCACCACCTGCAGCTTGCCCACCTCTGCACATGTACTGGGGGCACAGTGTTGCCAAAAAAACTGCTTCAGCACAGAAGAGAAGCASAATGAAACTACAGAGGGGTTTGCAGCTCAGGGCCTTGAGCGAGTCACTGAACACCTGCAGGCTGCCATTCACCCTGGTTCACAAGCAGGGCAGCGCTGCTGGCACGGCTCGTGGGAGTTTTGGGAGGTGAGGGACCWGGGGGAAGGAGTGACTGATGGGCAACCTGAGGGACAGTGCAGCAATTCAGGGCATGAGGAGGATGGAGATGGGGAAACAGCAACCAAGGACTTCTCARCTACCTGCAGGAATTGCAGCCAAATCAGGCTTCAGCTTCCTCATGTGTGTTGCAGCTTTCACARGTCCTCCATGAGCCCACATGATTGCATCATAATTTCACAATTTAGTGTTTATTACTAGTAGTATTGCACAAATCAGTGTGCACTGCTCGCCCTTCCCAYGTTTCACTCCATGCAAACAGTCTCTTACCGTATGAACATTTAGAAATGAACCATTTTCCCAAGGAAGAAACTTGAGCTTCTTCCCTAGCCAGAATTTTTTGGGCATTATTATGCACAGTATAAGACCYGCAACTGATGGCATCCTTGGGATGCTGGGATGGGCAGCAAGCAGCCAGGGCAGCCTGCCTTCAAGCTACAGACTGTGCAACCAGGGCCTCAGCTTAGCAGCCCAGGGATGATGGTGTCAGTGTCAGCACTTTGCATCCCTTCACCCTGCCTGGGCTCCCTCCCAGGCACAGCACAACCACCAGACTCCAGGACACCTTTCCCTTTCCAGTGGTACTCACATTCTGTGTCTGAAATCAGCTCCATTCTCRTGACCTGGAAGCAGAGGCATTGCTGTAGGAGCCTGGGTAATGTTATTTGAATGATTTATTGTTTCAATTAAGCGTTACATGTTTTTGAGCCTTCTTGGTCCATTAATCTTTTTCTTGCATTATATTTTGCAGTCACAAATGATATGGGTTTGGAACCACTTTGAAAAAGCCCCTCAGTTCTCTCTCCCCATCCTTACTGGAAGGAAAATAACTGTCCTGTTCCAGCCATTGAACTCTACAGTACTTTACCACGGGCATCAATGAGCTGACAAACAGATTTAACGCCTTTGCATGTCTATGAAGTTCCCGGCGCTCCAGGAAGGAGGGCTCCTTAAATAAATGCCACAGCACACCCAGCAAGAAAAACTCAATTTCTTTTCTTGTGGATTCCTCARTGCTCCCTAAAATATAAATTACCTTGAAGATCATCAATCATTTCTTGTTTAGGACCTGGAATCCAGTTGCCACTTTCTGATCAATACAACTTTAATAGTAGAATAAATGCAGAACTTGAGTTATCTAGTAGTAGTCATTTGTATACAATACATAATCTAAAGCCGCATTCACATTCAAATGTCTGGCAATGAGGCTTATGAGGAGCACTGTGTCTTAAAATGCAATGGATTGTCTGTTTCTTATCCTCATTAAATGACATCTTATAAAAGGAATCAAATAAAAGATAGGTGAGCTTGATRACTGTCATATCCCACAACCTTTACTCATACATGCAATGCGCTGCCTTCAGACCAGGTTCTCATTTGGAAGTTGCAGATCCCCACTGCTGACCTGAATATTGATTTTATGCTAATAAAGTTCTGTGTTGAAATGCTGGTTAGAGACAAAATTGATCTTGTACTTCAGGCCTGCAAGGTGTTACACACGCTGTACTATTTTCTTTCTAAACGAGTGCAAAAGACAATCACCCCTTACAGGAGATGCCCCACAGGCTGCAGATTTCAGCATTTGCTAAATAAGCTAAGACCTGAATTAATCACTTTTCCAATTAGGGGAGGCACTTTTGCAATAATGAAGCTGTGTACCTGCAAAATTTTTAAAGATGTAAAATAAAAGCCCCTGAAATTTTAAATGTCTCGTTCCGTACCGTCTAAGAGAAGCAAATACAATGACAATGTACTTCCATTTACCTATTGGGTATCTTTAGCAGTGTTTCTGCAAATTCTCTTAACAGATGCTGGTCCAATCACTGCTTATCTGCAACACAGACAGACTTTGAGAGGACTAAGGAGGATTTGCTTCTGGTTTCACACAGCATGCTTGTTTTTTTAAGTTTAATTTAATAAAATAAGAACTCTGGATAAAAGTTAATCAAGCAGAGCTGCTAGGCTTCTTAGGCTGTTAGGAAGGGGGAAAAGATTTTCTGCCAAAATTTTATCTTTGCTCTTTTTCTGCCTCACTCCTTCTCTGCATTTGTTGCTTAATGGCTCAGTATTTTTTCAAAGGCCATTCCTTTTACAAATGTAATCAACTCGSGCATTCAGCACCACAGATGATATATTACCTCTCCTTAAAACCAAATCTCTGAGGGATAGATTAGAAAAAAAAAGGTTAAAGAGCTCTATCGTTCAAAGCATTATAGTTTAGACACCTATAAATCACTATGTTTATTTATTTAGATAATTGGCCCATTAGCGGCTGTAACATCTCAAGCTACACAACTTTGTGGTGTGATGGTGTGCYAGGGAGCCCAAAGCTCCGCGCAGCACCGCCGGCACACGACGCGTTAGGGACGATCTGCAGCTCCCTTCCAAGAGCAGCCCCCGCTCGCTCCAGCCACCCCTTCCCCTCAAACACTTTCCAAGCCCAAGAGCAGATGCCACTGTGGAACAAACTGGAGCCTGTCACCACGTAATAGGATTTCAATGGAGATACGGGGCTGGCTGGCAGCGGGAGCGGGGAGGCGCGGTAACCCCGCACCATGGAGAYCCGCACGGCTGACCCCGGCGGGACCGTGCCCCGCACCTGTGACCGCTGCCGCCCCGATCGCCCCCGCAGCACCGCGTGTGCGCCGCCCCGAGCCCCGCAGCGCCAGGCAGGGCAGCCAGGAGAGGCAGCCCCGCGATCGCGCCGCCCGAGCCCCGCAGCCCTGCGGCTGCCCCGCCACCGACCCCCGCAGCGACTGCGCCAGCACCCCCCCAAACACAGCCGCGGCAACTTCGCGCACCGCCCCCAACTCACCGGGAGGCGCCGGCCCCGCGGAGCGCTGCGCCCCTGGATGCCGCCTCCCGCGGAGCGCAGCCCKCAGGGGCCGGGCAGCGGCGCGGCCAGGGAGCGGAGGGAGGAGCGGCGGCAAGTTGCGGCGCGTCTCTCGTGTCTCTTCTCTCCTCTCCTCTTCTTTTCTCTCCCCTCCCGCCTCCTCCTCCTCCTCCCCCTCTCTCCCTCCCCCTCCTCCGCCCGGCAGGAGGGTCGGGGGAGGCGGCGGAGGGGCCGGAGCGCGGCCGCGGAGCGCGGCGCGGGCAGCGCGGGCACTGCGCATGTCCCCGCGCCCGCCGGGAGCCGCGCACGGAGCCATGGATGCGGCGGCGGCGCCGCGGGCCGGGAGCGCAGAGCAGAGCGGAGCGGCGGAGAGGAGAGGAGAGCAGAGCACAGCGCAGCACAGCGCAGCACAGCACTGCACAGCACAGCACAGCGCAGCACTGCACAGCACAGCGCAGCGCAGCGCAGCACAGCACAGCACAGCACAGCACAGCACAGCACAGCACAGCACAGCACAGCACAGCCCAGCACTGCACAGCACAGCACAGCACAGCACAGCTCAGCTCAGCACAGCCCAGCACAGCACAGCCCAGCCGGCACGGCTGCCGCCGCAGCGCCTCGCTCCGCTGCCCACCTTGCGGCTCTGCCGCGGCCCCGGCGGCTCTCGGCTGCCCCCGAGCAGCGGGGAGCGGCTGAAGCCGAGCCGGCGCTGCGGCGGATGCTGGGGCCGCCGCCCCGATTGCCGCACAGGGGGCTGCGCTGCTGGAGGATGCTCCGGTGGCCGGCCTGGAAAGGAGGAAAAAAGGAGGAATCCAAGCATCCTGGTTTTGGTGGTTTTTGTCCCCGTCGTTAAATGAGCATGACTAATGAAGACAGGTATTTCGGCAAAAAGGACCTCGGCGTATTTAYTGGTGGCTTTTTAATGTTGTACCAAGGTCTTTAAAGGAAAGAAATAATTGTATTTTTACATGATGTAGGGAAGTGCAAGGACTGCAAGTGAAAAGCACTGTAAGAGCAAAGGCAGGAAAGGCTGCAAAAGCAAAATACCTAACTGAGATCTCTGGGGATTTTTTAGGGAAATTGCACAATTACTACAAGTTTCCACCCATATGTAAGGACTGACTTAACACCCAGTGAGCTCTTGCTTCCTGAGAACAAGTTCAAACCCCATATGCAATTCTGCAGTAGTACTGCTGTCAGATGCATGGCTGGCTCAAGGTTTGAGCCTGGATCTGCATTTGTTTTCCGTGCAAGGATTTGCCTATGCAGGAAAGGGCTGGTTTGTTGCTTGTTTGGTTGCTTGGTTTGGGGTTTTTTTGTAATCCAAATACAGCAATATCACCAGCATTTTCATTTTCATCTAATCTTTGGCAAGATTATAGCTTAGTTTATCATCTCCATTCCCATTCATCCAGTGAATCCTCAGAGCTGATCCTTCCTTCATACCACCTTTCATTATTGCCAGCTGTTGGGTTCCTCTGTTGACTTGTTCCTTTTTTTTTTTACTTTTTTTTTATATTTTGAGCCTTCTTTGAGCTCTCTATCCAACAACCTCTGTCTGCACTGGGTGATACAGTCCATGTTTAGCAGAGTCCAGCCCATCTCAGTTTGTCCACATGGCCCCTGCAACAAAATGCATATTTTTCTAGCATGTAACCTGCCAGTTCTTGTCATATGCAGCTGCTGTTCTACCAGTCTGGTGTTGCTTTTCTCTCTGTTCCTAACATGCCACTCTACTGGCACACTGTAGCTGACCTAATGATGTTTTTCTCAGACTCTGGTTTCCTTTACCTGCCATTCTTGCAGAAAGTTCCCATCAAATCATTCCATCACAAACAAGACTGTGAAACCCTAACATCKGTATCCACATCACACATGGTGATGCTGCAATGAGCCCAGCTAYCCAGGAGACTTTAACTCTTTCACCTCCAACTGTGTTGGTTTCTGGTTACTGTAGGCAGTGAAGATTTGCACATGTGGAGTTTTGAATCAGCACTTTTGTTCCACTGCAGTTCCTCGTTCAGACCAGTGGTTCCTCTGCCCTGCTCAAGCCTTGTAGTTGCCCTGTGAAGAGTGGTAGGTCATCGTAGCCATTTGCTGCCTCTGCAGTGTTTTCAGTTTGAAGTTGAAATCAGATTGTGATTTGTAGGGAATTTTAGAGGCTAATGGTAGTGTGCAGGTCCAAAAAGACTGGAAACAAATGTTCTAACAGCCATTCCCCTTCAGCTCTATCTTTTGGCACAGTTTGATGTCATCAGCAAARTACAGTTTTCGTTGAGTCTTCACGAGGGATGTACAAGACATGCCAGCACACTGAAACCCAGAGGAATTTTCCTTCTCTTCAACCCTACTGTGGACATTCCTGGTGCCTCCAGATAGTTCATTTGGATTTAATTAGTTGGAAAAAAACCTTTCAAAAATCATCAGTTAAATYAAGTATATATTCTGGCTTTTGAACAGTCACTATGTACGGTGTAAAAGGCCAACCCTAGCAGTTTGGGCTCTTGCYGTAATCTGTATTCTTGTTAAAATGGCAACAAAGCCAAAGATGGCTCCAAAGGAGAGGGGTGCCTTTTGTTTGCCTCTTCCTTTCTTCTCTTCCACCTCTCATCTCCCCTTTGTTCTCCAGGTTTAAATACTTTTTAGTTTAATTTGTCTGCCTCTGTATTTAGGGCAATTATTGGATGCTTCTCTTTTAAATCTGGGGAAGTGGGGTTTGCTTATTACCTAACCTTTATTTGCAGCTCTTGTCAGCAGACAGGCTGGCCAGGAAGGTCAGAGAGGTCAGAAAGGAGAGATGCAGAGAATGAGGGACAGAACCTTGTGATCTCTTGACGAAAGAGAAGGATCAGCCATGGAGCCGAAACAGAGGAGTAGGAAGGGGGTGTGAAGGTAATGGGTGGCTGGCAGAGATGGAGGGATAGGAACTGTGGAGGCAATAGGTAGAGATGAAGTCCTTCAAAAAGGCTGGCGAAACCCAAGCACTCTKAGATATGATTAATTCTGCACTCCAYRAGAGTGRAACTATTCCCTCCTGTCATTTGTGTGACAGGCGCTCCCAAAGGCCCCCTCTSCTGCTGGAGCTCCATTATCTGACACATTGTGCTGGCTCTCTGCCACAAGGCCTTACAGTTTAGCATGGCCCAAAATGCAACAAAGGAATGCAAAAAAAAAAGATACTGGGAGAGGAAGGACAGCTGAAACCGTGGGAGCCTACATTGCAGTTTAYGTTATGCAATGTCACTGTTATAGTCAGAAGTAAATAATATACAAGTGATGTACGTACATAGTAGCGACCTGCCCTCCATCTCAGGCATTTCCATTGCCCTTTTTGTCCTGTTCAAGAATGAGGAAATCCCAAGCACTCGATTTAACCTCTTGTCCAAGGGCCTGCTGTAGGCAGGAGTTAGGGCATGAGGCTGACACAGGCACAGCTGAAGCAGTGTACGAGCTGCTGGAGGTCACAGCCTTTGACTTGTAACATTCTGTGAGAGCAGCAATAAGGAGGAGCTGGACACGTACAGGCTCTGCTCTGACCCAGCCTAGAATAGCCCATCTCTGTCCCTTGTTCTGCCCTGCACCGTACTCTCACAACGCTTTCTAAGTGAGCTGGGCACAGAAGTTACTTTTCAGCTGGACCAGTTCCCAGCCTAGCTCCCGGGAAGGCATACAAATATCCTGCCAGACAGTGTGGGAAGAGTGTCGGGGCAGGCTGGGGGCAGCAGGGCTTGTCCAAGCTGCTGGAGACATTCTACTCCAGAGGCACAGGACTGAGCTCAGTGTGCTGGTGCAAAGCAGATTGTTTTACTAAACTCCATTTTCAGGTGACTAAAAYGTATTTTGGTGTTCAAGTCTGACACCTTAGGTTTCACTTCTTAGGATGGTAATCACCAAGCCAGCAGTTCACCTCCTCCAGAATGAGGAAGTCTGGTGCTGCTTTTCTGTTCTCAGCCACGCATTCCCATAATCTCTCTTCTGTCAGCCCAGCTACCTGTGAATAAATGAAGCCCTTCAGTCACCAGTGTTGGTCAGTAACCAAGCAGAAACTTGACCCTGAAAGAAACAGCTGCCTGGTTTTCTGCTGCTCTATCAGCTCACAGACATGTCAAATAAGCCCCAGAGCCACCACCAGTGCAGAGGCAGGGTCTTWGGCTGGGGAGAAGTTTGGGTTAGAGAAGGAAAAGGAGAAGGAACGAGTCTTCCCCCTTATGGCAAGATCAAGCCACTGGATATGCTTAGGTGCTCACAGATGCAGCTTTAGAGGTAAATTCACATGTGCTAAACCAGGAATACACAAACACAGCAGGAGCCAGCAGTGCTGCAGTTTGCTCCAATCCCTAGATTCACTCCTGTTTTATATAACAGCATGGTCCTAGCTCCACATCTCTTATTCATGTAGAAATACTCATTAAAGAAGTTTTAGTAAATAATCAGAGAAAAATCAGTCCTCAGCCTGCAGGCTTCTGTGCTTTGAGGAAACAAGCATCTTTTGAAGATRTGTTGAGGTACATCCCCTAATTATCATTTGCATATAGCATAAGCAAARCTCATTATAAAGAGAATGCAACTTTAAACCACACAAGTGTAAATTTCCCATGAGTTCCTAATGTAGAGCAAGGGTTTGAATGAGCCTTTCCAGTGCCCTTCACCCATGCCAGTTCCTGTGAGGAAGTGTGCTCTACCTGCCTTAAGACAGGGAAGATGCTCATCCTTGCTAAGCTCCCTCTCACTGCACACTGGAAATAAAGTTTGAATAGACTGGGGCTACCCACAAAGATGGCACTTACTCCTTTATACATACATTGCTGGCTTTCAAGAAGTCTGAGCAGTCCTGCTTCKTCAAGAAGCAAAAGGGCCTGAGGATGCCATCACCTCTGGAAATCAARCCATTAGGRATAGGAAGGGGACACGAAAGAAAGYGTGAGGTGTTGTAGGAAATCATTGCTTCCATTCAAGGAGCACATCAGTAAGAAGCTGTCACCATCAAGGGACAGAGTGAATAATCTAACAGAACTTTCTTACAGGCCAAAAAATCCYGTGAAAGCCTGGATGGCTGCACACCACATCTCTGAAACCAGTGACAAATCACATTATGGTTGAGGCATGTAAAATAGTTCTGTCAAAGCAACGGCTCCTGGCGTGGCTGATTTGTCTGAGCGAGACGGTCGTTGTTAGTGCCGCTGCCTGGCTAATGCAGAGGCCTCGAGGGCAAGTAAACAATCTTCTGACCCAAGTGTTGGGCCTGGGCTCTCTCCAAAGAGGAGAAAT